GCTGTACTATGAGGGTGGTTAGATTTAAGTAAGTAATAACCCGGTATGGAAATGTGAGAATATTTGGTAAAATGAGTTTCTGAGATTAAAGCGTTATCTATGCGCTTGTCAAATAATACAGTCTGGAGCTCATTAATATGATTTTTAGACCATTAGCATTAAACAGTAAAATAGATAATGAGTTATTAGTGTTATAAATAATTATAGTCGTGTTCGACTTAGTAATTCGCAGTAACCACCGTAGATAGTAGGATTTTCCATATCACAAACATAATCCTCAGCAGTGGAAAAGTTGTCACCATATGAATTGTAAGACATACTAACAAAGATATTCCAATTATCAGAGATATACGCAACAATTGTATTTCGGATCTCCTAGCATCTTTCTTGAGTCTTATATAAATTAAAGGAAATTGAACCGAAAAGGTATGTACCATCACCGATAATTTGTACAACTATTTGAGATGCCAAAATTCCATTCACATTAATTTCTTTAATAGATTGCATTTTTTATAAATGAAAGTTAAAAAAATAACTGAATAATAAATAATATCTTATGCCCATATTATATTGCCAATGACAACCTCTAATTAATAATAATTTAATAATATAAATAAATAAATATAATATTAATAATATTAGATATTTCTTGATAGATGGCGTCACTATTGTATACTTACAAYCACTCAGTTTTATCTTTAGGAGTTGATTTTCCTAAAATCCTTTCTTAAAGCACGGTAAAATTATAATATTAATCCACCCTGAAAATTTCAAGCAGATCTACCCTGTGGTTTAGGTTCTACGATGATCCCTCCGGAGGACAAATTCTTTTATATATTTAGAAGATATTCAACTATTTCATTTTTAAATCAATACAAAGTAAATAAATTAACATAATAAATGTTTCTTTTAGCTGTACTTTTCGTTTTATGATTATACAACTCCAACCACTCAAAGTGCGTTTACTGGGCCAATTGTGAGTTACGCAAAATATATAAAAGAAAAAAATACAGTGACAACTCAAATGGTTAACCGTTCAACAGACGGGCTTCTAACCACAGTTCTCGGTATGCAAAATGYMAACAATCACACGACACGTGCTTCGGCGGACGACGAAGTTATTGCCAAGAGGATTGATGACGGTGAATTAGGAAACAGTGGTAGGCACATGCGTTTGTATCCACAGYTGGCACCAAAACAGCCGGCATATTTATCTTACGATTCTAATTATTGGAGAAATAATTTAAATAAAAATAGTAAGCTCGAATATACCGATGGTATGTATGGGTTCAATCGGAGATCAGATTTTCCACAATTGGCAGCTTATCGAGCGCCGTTCCCGCCAAAGAGCATCCTGGACGTTATGAAGTACGTGACTGGGAACCCTCATAAGRCAAACATTCCAGAATACATGATAGCACAAGAATCCAACCATCATCATCGGTACTATCCTATCCGACCGGCGGAAGAAGTCAATAGATTCCTTCCAGATGGAAATATGCCAAGTGTCAATTTGAGGAGATTCCGCAACAAATTTGGTCCRCCGGTATTTTTAACGCCACCTATTACRTCGTTCCCGGATGACTTTATGAAGCCACCTGACCTCGATGCCCGATATTCGATGGATTTCGAGAGTAACRTACCTTTAGACCTTACGCTACAAGAAGGTTCAGCTRGTACACCGACACATACTGACGTAATATTCCGTCCACCTTTTAACAATGGTTATCCTGTACCAGATTCTCCAAAACAAAAAATAATTAAAAATAAAAGAAACAAAAAGCCAATAAGCGTTATGTTAGACATATATCCTCTATCGGATAATGAGCATGAAAATGAACAAGGTTAGTAATTTAAAATTAACTTATTAAACAAAATTGTATATTTATTTTTTAGTTTTGCAGGCAACATTATTTAAAATATAGTCAAGTAMAATTTCACCTCTTGGATTCATTATTTTCTTATAATAATTTACACTTTAACTATGTAAAATAATAAAAAAAATAATAAAACATTTAATTAAATGTATTACAATTTATATTAATTATTGCTTCAAAGTTCTAGGACATCTTGTTTTCTACTATTTGGTATTTTGTCTAGAATATAAAAATGTCTATAAATATTAATGTATAAATTGTATCAAACTAATAATTTTAAAATTTATGAGAAAAATTAGTTAAATTCATCATTTCAGAACMAATAAATCATTTATTTATTWATTGACACTTAACCATTAAATATAATGGTTTTAAATGTATTAATATTTTATATTGATTTTATTTAGCTGAGGAAGATGAAGAAGAAAGTCATTCTGAGATGATTACTTCGTTAAAAAACAATCTTCAACACTCAGATTCAGATAAATTATTGTTTCGATTGAACTTATATCCAAAATTCAGTGAAGGTGGCCGTAGAGTGTAAGTGTAGAATAATTCCACATTAATAATATTCAAAACAATAATGAAAAACAAAAAAAGTTCA